CGCCCCAGGAGTCCACCCCGGAGGGCACCGCCGAGCTGCGGCTCACCCCGGCTCCGGTCGCGGGGCGGCAGCTGCGGGTGCTGCTCACGCCACTGCCCCAGAAGCGGCTGCTGGCTGTCGAGGGCTGGGCGCCGGGCGGGAAGAGGCTCCGCCCGCGGGAACCGGACCCGGCCGGCGTTCGGGATGCGGACAGCGACGGGAGCGAAGCGGAAGATGCCGGTGCGGTGAGTTTCCATGCGGACAGGCCCGAGCTGCGCCCGGAGCGGCTGCCGCCTCCGTCGAGGCTTATTTGCACCTGGGCTGCAGCAAAGGAAATGTTGGTCCTGCAGCTCGCACGACGCGCATTTGCTGTGTTTGTAAAAGCAAAGCTGGAAGTACTTTTCCTCCTCGTGCAGTGTGTTTTCTTTTTAGCTTCTCTGACTGGAAGTATGAAACTTCATTTCACCCTTTCAGAATGCCTAAGGGGTGAAAAAAACGCTCTTGCTGTCAGTCAGAGGACACAAACCCAGTTAGTGAAAGCACTGGCGTGGTGTCGTTCTGCCAGTAACCATCTTCCAGTTGTTTTTACGCATGCGTGCGGTCATAAGATGGGATGGTTCTGTCAGTGCTCATTTGTATTTAAATCGTCATTTCAACTGCTCAAGTCTACCTCTTCTATAAAAGAGAAAAATTATCTATATGACTGTGTTCCACTTACGTGCAATGTTTGCTGTATTGCTGAAGTTTCAAGTTCTTTATTGGGTCGCTTTGGTATTGTTTTCCTTCCAGCAAGATATTTATGAACTGCTCTTTTTGTGGAATTAAGGCTAGGAGTATGTTTCATAATGCAAGCTAGTACCTCTGTGGAGAAGTTTTGGGACTGATCTGGGGTTGCCCCAGTTTGTATGTTTATTTGTTTACAAATACATTGAGCCACTTTTAAATAATGCGGACAGTCAATTTAGAGACTGCTTCCCAGAAGCCTGGGACATCTCTTGCAGGCCATGTAACTGTACAATGAAGAGTAACTGGCTTTTCTTTTTGTAGGATGGATGCCCACAGTTATCAGTTTATGAAAAGAAAAGGCTGAAGAACATTATAGAAAATGCTAAATTCTTTGCTGCTTTGGAGCTGTACGAGGTTTGTATGGAATCTGAGTAGCATCAAAATGCTCTCCCAGTGTAGCGATTGTACTGTCATCCCTCCCCAACAGTGGCAGGTGTGTGAGGGAAGCCACAAAAACTTCCTAGTACATCGGGACTGCCCTGACTGGGCACAAAACCAGGGTGTTGTGCTGCTAGTTAGCTTTTTCCAAGAAGGGGAAAAACTTGGTTAAAATTACAAAAGGTGAAGAAAGCAAAACTCTGCTCGGGCATCGCGCTGTACCAGCAGCAGGAGCACCGTGGAGCCAGTGGCACCGGGCGAGGTAACCCTGGGAGAAACGCTCCCTGAGGGTGCTGGTGTGTGCTGGGCACGAGCACAGTGCGTGCAGCCTCCTGCCCGCTTGTGTACCGCCTACTCCTACCTGCCTCGGTGTGCTGCCTTCCCCAAGGAGCTCTGGTGCTTTGGGGGCAGCTCTATGGTGGGAGAGGCTCCTGGGCAGAGCGGGCCCTTCCCCGCCTCCTGCCTGGTCTGGGCGGACACTACTGTGTTACGGTGGTTCTTCTGCTAGAGAAATTGTCTGGGAGGTTAAAGTAGTGGAAGTTCAAATGCTGTCACACGAGTAGATCCAAACCTTTGCCCTTCTTTCGATGCTCTTTCATTCTCTTATATTATTTTTTAAAAAAATTCCTAATAGATCCCTTTTCTGGCAGCAGCGAGTGAATGACCTCCTTGAATGGCTGCATGCTTGCTTGCTCATTATACCAGGCTGCAAGATGTGGTTGGGCCTATCTAGTCAGCAGTAAGACTCCTTGCCACCAGGGCCGAAACTTGAGTAAAGATAACTCCTTTTCTTCCAGTTACCCTCAGAGAGGTCAGCAGAGTCTAGGCAGTCTGACTGTAACTGCAGCACTGTCTGCAGAGCACTGAAGACTAGCAGAAGGAGCTGTAGCCATCTCGGTTACCCTTAGCCCTGCCAGATATGAGGTGCAGGCAAATCTTTGTGCCCAGGTTTGCACTGCACTGGCTGGAGCAGTGGTCTTAACTGGGAATTATTTGTTCCTGTGGCTTCCAGAGAAGCCAAAATGCCTGTCTTCAGAATGTAACAGAGAAGACACTGAGTGGAGGCCTCTGTGGTTTCAGGTTCTTTCTGTGTCTGATGTGCAGCATTTAGAATATTTTCACAGTGACAAGTTGGAAGGGGCCTCAAGGATCAGCTGGTCCAATCTTTCTGGCAAAAGCCTGGCCTAGACAAGCCAGCCCAGCTCTCGTCCAGCTGAATCTTAAATCCTAGATGTTGGGGAACCCATCGCTTCCTCAGGGAAATTATTCCAGGGGCTGATTGTTCTCAGTGTGAAACATTTTCCTCTTGTGTCCAGTCAGAATCTCCCCAGCAGTAACTTGTCCCCATTCCTCCTTATCTTTTCCATCTGCTTTGTAGCCACCCTTCAAATACTGGAACCTGGTGGTAAGTTCTCCTTGGAGCCTTCTCTTCTCAAGGCCAAACAAACCCAATCTCTGAGCACTTCCTCCTGTGGCTGCCTAGTCCCCCAGTCATCTTAGTGGCCCTTCTGTGGGCCCTCTCCAGCCTGGCAACATTTTCTTTGTTCTGTGAAGAGAAAAGCTTCAGAACATCCAGACGGTGCTGGTCTTCTGTGGGGGATTCTTGCTGGTACATGGGAGCAAGGCAGACCCAGCACAGCTTGATCCTTAAAAGTCCTTTTTGTTAGTATTGTAAATAATTACAATATAGCTTATTGCACCCTGTAGGTAATTGTGTTTTATATGGTTTAATCCTTTACACTTGTTATATCTGGTTTTAATTTTTTTTTTTTTCCCTTTAGTCAGCTGCAAGACTTCAACAAATTGCAACTAGAAAACAATCCCTTGTCACCAAAAGGTAAAGTAACTGAGCTTTGTAGCTTTGTAGCACTGTTCCTTCACCGTGTGTTAGGTGTTTGAGCGCTTCCATCTGTGCATACCTGATACTGTAAAAAGGCAAAGCCTGTGAGGGGTCTCTCTCTAAAGCTGAAGCTGAATAACTGATTAATCTAAGCTGTGTGAGTTCATGGGCACGTGGCTCCTCTAGGTAGTGCCTCTCCTCTGCCATCCTTTGGAAAGAAAATGATAGTACTAATATCTTTTTTGTCAAATTACAGAATTTGTTCGTTTTGTGATGTTTGTGTTTAGGTATTTCAATCACATTCCTTTTTTCTGAAGATGTTTTTGCGTGATGGCTAAAGAAATGTTAAATGATGAAAACAAATGATGGGAAAAGGTGCGGGAAAGAAAGAGAGGGAGAATTAGGTGCAAGGGATAGGGTAACCAATTAGTGTAGAAGAAAAGGCATTTGGCAGTGCCAGAATAGCGCCAGGCAAAGCAGAAAAATGAGCTTAAGTTCAAATAAAGATTAAGATAAGTGATGAAAGCAAGTGCAGAAAGATGACTAGATCGGTGAGTGGGAGGATGAATTATAAATAAGGAGGGCTGGGAGAGAAGTGACAGTGGTGGGGTGTATTACAAGCGGAATGAAGATTCAGTACATGTACACATTGCAAAGTGCTGCTGCTCTTGTTCCTTGCTGTCACCGGAGGGAAGAGCACCCAAAGCCCCCCTGAAGCAAATCAGGACTAGTCAGGCTCTAAGACGGGGCCAGGGTGTTAGAGCTGCACATTTGAACCTGCTCTGTAGTCTTATCCTTAAATGCAGAGGACTTGTGTTAGTGAACTGCGTCTGTAACTTGGAAATGTTTTAATTGTTCTAGGGCTAAGCCTAAAAAGGCAGAAGATGAAACAGTACGGCGAAGGTCTATGCGCTTACAGAGAGTAGAGCCCTCCGGAGTTTCGGGTCTGGAGGCGCCTGCCCAGCCAACAGCAGCAGGCAGTGTAAGACAGGTAGGGGTGAGAGGAGATGTGTCTGTGTATACACAGAAGCTTTATAAAAATGGGCCTGGTGAAGTTGACTGATAACGCCTGTCATTGCTGAACCTATTGTAAAAACCTTTAGATGTTTGGGAAGGTGTGTTACATGGTGCCGATAATAAAAGGTAAATTCTTTCACCCTCAGGCACCTTAAATAGCAGCTTTCCTATGTCCTCTCTGAAAGTCAGACAATATTCTATGACTGGAGTTGATGAAATAGTGCAGTTCTGGATGGTCAGAAGGGCCCTGAGATAAAACGTTACACAGTTTTCAAAAGCCCATAGATTTGAGCATCTTTAAATTAAAAGTTTTATCACTCTCTTTTAATTTATTTCACTGTAACTTTTGATCTGGTTTATTTTTCTCTGAAGTATTTACTACCTTTTTGAAGTAGTAATGTAGCAGCAAGTAAAACTTCTGATACTCTGGGAGATGGGAATTTAAATCTTCCATGGTGCTGTAGAATAAGGTAAATCTCCGGAATACAGTTCTTGAAGATCCACCTTGCTGGAGTATCCAAAGGGAGAAGAAAAAGCATAGGGTAGCTATTTGTCTTTGCTGTTGCTTTCAATAAAGTTCTATTTATCTTTTTTATAAGATTTTGATACAGAGTGGTGTTTTTTTTATAAAATGTTTATTTCTTATTATTGTAGACATGTTCTCAGAATATCTGGTGTGTGGAAAGCAGCAATTCACCCTATTTGTAATTTCAGTTGGTTTGAGTTATGAAAATTGATGCTGTCGTTCCAGCCTCAAGTTCCAGCTGGCCCTTTGCCAATGGTTCCAGAAGATCAGAAGGGAAACAGCAAATTGACCGAGGACTTACTGACTACATGGATGAGGATAAGTGAGGTATTATTAGTTAAATGAGTTATTTTTGCAAAAGATAATTTAGCTTGGGTTCCAATTCTGATAAATACTTCCTTTCTCTCTGTAGGTGAAAGCTAATGGTACTGAAAAGTGCCTGTGTGACATGAAGAGGTAATCTGAAGCCAGAAGCTAAAAACTGGCTGTTGTCTTGCTCCCCTCCTTCCCTCTCAGGAGCAGCTAACCTTTGAATGCTGTTGTATAGATACCAAGACATGCTGTCCAGCATGGTCCTCAGCAAAGAGAACATCAGGAAGGTTGTGAAATACCGGGTTTGCTCCATGGCTATCCATCCATCTGAAAGCATCCTCTTCGTGGCAGCTGGAGACAAGTCCGGGCAGATTGGTCTCTGGAACGTGGTGAGTAGTTAGGGCACTCTCCCCCCCGCGGGGCGCAGCCTCGCACGTCATTTTATCAGGATCATGATGGTGGTTTAGACTTTCCCTGTTCTCACGGGTAACACCAGGGTGCCTCTGAAATTGAGGGTCAACAGAAGTGCTTGAAAGGTCTGTCTAGTCCTGGGCAAGGCTGGATTTAATGGGAGTAAAGGTTGCACTGGTAATTTTGGGAGGCAGAGTGGAAGAAAATGGATCACTAGCTGAAATAAGATTATCACAAATTGCAATTCACCAATAAGAGATTTGGGATGTAATTACGGTGCCCTTGTAGCAATGCCACAGCCAGGTTTTGGAGAGCAAGGGCAAATGGATGCTCAAGTATTTGTTTTTTGAGTCTGTACAGATTTTGGGTAGTTGCAGTGAGTCGCTGTTTTTCCGGACAGTGGAGATAAAATTGCTGTGCCAATATATCTGCTGGCACACATTTCTTACATTGTCTCTGAAAAATAGCTTAGCATTTGGTGCTTCGAAAACTTTTGAGGGTTTTGCAAATAGTCTCACCATCGTATCTGAATTCCCTTAATTACTCCTGAAGCAAGAATCCTTATCCATGCCCTTGACTTACACCTTTGTAACCTTTCCCCGCACCCTCCGCTTTGATCCCACGTCATCCAAGCCAGCTGCTTCAAGTTCACATACATGCAGATTTTCTTTTCATTTTTGGCAAGGCCATTAACCTCTCAAGTTGGGAGTCATTTCTGCTTTGACAGGTTCAGGAAACATGAACTAAAGTCAGCTCTGAGACTCTTAATTATAAAGAAGTTTAAGCTGCTCCATACAGTTTAACAAGTGGTTGCTGCTTGTCAAAGAGTGTGGAAGTCTCCAAGTGCCACAGACTCTCTGCGGCCTTGCAGAGACATTTCAGTGGAAGCCTAGGATTGTTAAAGCTACTCTTTTCCCTTTTGTTCTCCTTTTGTTTTATTTTCCTGAAGTGAGTTGAACCTGACCAGGGTTGGGAGCAGAGTAATCTTTGTGGAATGAACCGGTACTTGTTCCAAAATGGTATATTCAGTTTCTTTTTAAATAACAGAGTTTGAATGATGCTAAAATTAGAAGAGAGGGTATAGGAGATGATGCTTTACATTCAGCTTGGGTCACTATAATTTAGCTTGAGTCCCAAGTAACCTAATATGTACATATTTTGATGTAAAAGGCATATGTTTGGTCCTCAGCAGGGTCACAGAGAAACTGGTTCAGTCATTGAAAAAGAGCTAGGTACCCATGTCCAGATGTGGCACCAGTGACCACAGTGAACGAAGTGCCTTCAGTTACAGCAGGAAGTGGCAGCTTTTCCTAATGAGGGAACAGAATGCTGAGACTGCTCTTTTGAGCTAAATTACTTGTAGAGGGATGAAAATGGTAGTGGGAGGGAGGCCATAGCCTAGCAGTGCTGTGCTGAGCCATCCTATGCAGTCAGTTCTCTTCTGTTTGGAGGTGGAACTCCCTGAGAACACCTGAAAAACAGAGACACTACTTTGAAAGTTTGCGGTGACTAATAGAAATAACAACAGTGATTAGCTCCTACATCCGCTGAGTCTCCCTTGTCTTTCAGGACTGTAAGTCCGAGGAAGGAGCACATGTCTTCGTTCCGCACAATGACCTGGTCAGCTGCATGCACTTTTCCCCGTTCAATCCTGCTCACTTGCTGTCCCTCAGCAACGACAGTCTGCGATGCGGTGATGTTACTCGGGCTGTCTTCGACGACGTAAGTGCCCCCACTGTTGCGCTCCAGACTCCTTGTAAACCTCTAGTGCTGCTGTGAAGTTTTAGTCTCGTTGTACCCGAGTTGTTATTTGTTGGTTCTTTTGTTAACAAGAAAGTTCAAGATTCCACTTCCACAAGGACACATAAAGTAACCTTTAATTAACATCATAAAAATACAGAGATGCTTCCTACTCAATAAAACGTACTAGCAGCTTGGGTACTCCCAATTTCCGTCCTGCAGAGACAGTTGCAATTATTGAATTTAATTTCATATCTTTGTACTTAAGCAACATCTGCCTCTACTAAAAAGCATTATCTTTTAACAATGACAAATGAGAGCTATTTAAAGAACTAAATCTTACAAAAAAGGCCCCCCACCCAAACAAACATTGTAAATCAACGTAAAACACAAGCTGACTTTGCTTTTCCCGGCTTCAAGCGAGCAGAATGCTGTGACTGCCTCCATGGTGCGCTGACAGCATAACTGCAGAGCGTCGTGATGCCTGCTTTGGTTGCTTATTTTTGACACATACCTCTGCACTGATCAGCTCTCTAGCGTGGCAAAATATAACAAGTTTCAACAGTTCAAAGTTTTTTTTCTGCAGCCCTTCCTGGCACTGCAGCGTTGGTGGGGCTGCAGGTGGCTGGTGAAGAGGCCAGGAAAGTCCAGGGGGGTCAATCCTTGAGCCAAACACTTGCAGGAGTATGTCTTCAGAGGTCAGGGGAAGGAAACACCCTTCTCCTGACCTGTTTACTCCACACCAGCTTGCACAGCCTTGCAGTACCTGTAGGGGTGTTCCTGCTGCTAACAGGGAGGCTCTGCACGCCGAGATGCGGCCGCTTTCTGCAGCATTGGTGTGTGCACGGCTGATGGCTGCCTCGAGGGGAAGCTGCCTTAGGATGAGGTGGCTGGGCATCCCAACTCATCTCCCAAATCACACAAAGCCAGATTCACGTTTCTGTGCCCAGCTAAAGTTTATGTGACACTGGAGAAAGGAACAGTGTTGTTAATCCTTGCTCAGTTGTGCTCGAGCGGAACAGCCATTTGATTACCAGCACGCAGAGGGGACCACGTCCTGTAGGAGTTTGAGGAGTGTGTTGCTGCTGGTTTATTAAAAAGGGAAAGCATGAAATCTACAGCCCATAGGAGAATTTTGAGTATTTTGAATAACTGTATTTTGTTGAATAGTTTTGGTTACATTTGACCTTTTCTGTGTGCAGATATACAGAAGTGAAGAAAAGTTATCTTCCTTTGACTTCCTGGAAGATAACGCCTCCACTGCAATAGTAGCACACTGGGGCGGCAACATCACCGTTGTGGACAGACGGACCCCAGGAACGTCATCAGGGTTGTCTGCAGACATTGACTTCAAAAGGATGAGGACAGTCCATGTCCACCCAGTGAATAAACAGTATTTCATGGCTGCTGGCTTACAGTACGTAGCTCAAAATGAACTGCAGTCGCTCTGTTTTCAGTCTTCTGTCTGAGTAGAAGTCAGCCAGAAATACCACGTTTGGAGGGCAGGAGCTGCCGAGGCAATTTGTTAGTCTCTGTACAGTCAAAGCTCTCCTGATCTTTTTAGAAAACAAGTTTTTAGTTCTTAGCAGGATGTAAAATGTGATCCATTCTTTTTCCTTCACCTTTTGGTAATGAGTACAAAACGGCCTTATGAGTTGCTGTGGTTTTGGACAGATGGCAGTGTAGAGGGGTTTTAAGGAGGTGTTGGATGGGGCTGGTTTTGGGGCTGTCCGAGTCCTCTGGAGCCACTGGCCCTGTGAGTGAACTCACGCTGCTGAAGTTTGAAACTCAGCTCAGGTCAAACCTTCAGTGTGTCTTCAGTGTTTTTTGGTAAATGGAGAATAATTCTTTAACTGTCCCTTTGTGAAGTGTTCTGTGTGCTGTGTGTTGCAGGGATGTTTGTATTTATGACATTCGATACCTGAAGTTTCATAGGAACATGCCTGTGAGCTCTCTTAAAGGACACACAAAAAGTGTTGCTTCAGCCTTTTTCTCACCTGTAACTGGGAACAGAGCGGTGACGGTGTGTGCTGATGATAAGCTGAGGTAAGACACTGGGGGAAGGAATAATCTATGGAAAATGTCAACTGGGTTTTTATTACTGCTATTTCCCATCATTGAGAGCTGTCTGTATTTATCACTTCTTAAAATAGTGATAAAGATTTACTTGCATTGGCATTTTTAATGTTGTTTTTAACGATTTTTTTTCTAATTCTCATTTTCCTTAAGAGTAGTTAACAGTGAACAGTAAAATATACAGGTATTGTTAGTCTTTAAAAATCAAACAAACAAAACCAAACAAAAAGCCCCAAACCAACCAACCAAAACTAGCCGAAAACCTGGCTTGTGAATACAAGTACAAAATGCTTAGGCCCTGGATTTATTTTTAGCTGCTGGTACTTAAAATTATGATCATATCAGCTGCTTTTGTAACTAGCCTACTATTTGAGAATTTAAACTGCTGTGAGTCATGTTGTATTAGAGATCTAGGTTTTTTTTTTTTTCTACTTTGTAGTTTTGTGACCATAATTTAAGTAGTCTCTGCATGTAAATACCTGATTGTATCTGCATATTCCCCATCTCTGTGTTCCAAAGTCCTTAATTGTATCAAAGAACAGCAGCTACAAAATGGTGGGGTGTAAAGGCCAGGTTGAAAATGCAGCCTCTGCTCTCCAGACTGCATGTGTTTGGGGAAAAGGTGGGGGAGTACAGGCCTTCTGGAAAGAACCCAAGTGTGGTGCAGTTGTCAGAGCATTGTATGTTTTGTGTGGAAATCTGATTTTCTTTCTTCCACATGCACAGGGAAGAGCTCTCCTCTGTGAGCTCTGTGTTGCTGTAATGCTTTCTTTCATGTCATGTGTTTACTGTATATAATTGAAGATTTGTTCTCTGTAGTGAGCTTGGTTATGAAAATTGTAAATCCTTGGTGCTAACAGAGCAAGTGTCAGTACAAAATGGATGTGAGTGAACCTGCATATTTGTGCTCAACAGAATGGAGCAGACAGACACAGGTTAATTTATTTGCTGCCTCCTCCAGAGGAAAAAGAAGATAGCTTTCAACTCAGCAGCTCGTTGAACTTTTTCCCCTGGAGGGTGGGACCCTAAATGTTTATTGGGGTGATGGGGAGCCCAGAACCTGAGATCTGTTGATGGTTTCTGTCAGTTGAGCTCCCTCCCGCCTGCATGAGGCGCTCCCGGCACGGGGGCTATTCCTGGTGGGATTTCACTCCTCTCGTGTTCTGCCCTGGGCAGCCGGTTTGGGCAGCGACGTGGGAGATGGGGCACTGGCCTAGAGGGGTCCACCCCCCATCCTGGCCAGCCATTCCCGTGCTCTGCTGTCACAACTTTGGGAAGGGATAAGCAAATCCCAGTCAAAAAGCAAACTTAATGATTGTATTTGAGCTGCACATCATTGTGTGCTGTTTGTTCCTTTGTTCCAGACTTGTGTGTGCTCTGCCTGTGCTGATCTGTGCTTTATGAGGAAAGGGCAGCCTTTTTAACGCCCTTTTAATTTACATTTCCTTAACGCACTGTTTTATGTTACAGGGTCTATGACACCTCCTCTTTGTCATCGAAGGTGGAGGTTCTCAGCACGATCAGGTAAGCGGGACGCCACAGGCTGAGGACAGCACGCTGGGGGCTGCATCCCCAAACAGCCTCAGGGCCCTGGCAGCCCTCAGACCCTCCTTGCTGGGAGTTTGTCCTTGTCCCTGGGGTGCCCCCCATGGTGGGTTTTGTGTGTAAAACACGGCTGGGGCGTAGCCGGCTTTGAGGGGCTGAGGTCTGCAGGGAAGCTTCAGTGTTCTCTGCGCCTGGAATGGACCGTTCTGGGATTTCACAGATGTGGTTTGTCTCAGAATGCATTTTCTTTGTGTGGATTTTTTTTTTTCAAATGTCAAAGGTTACTTCTTAATGGTAACACAGCTCCTGTAAAACACTTTGTGCTCCAGAAGGGCAAAGCGTTGTCGGGGTTGGTTTGCTGAGAGGCTGGGATGAGATGAGGGACTGGCTTGAAAATTATTAGTTTGCAGTTTATCGAGAGGCCTGATGCATGTTGGTCCTATTTTTACTAAAATACGCAACCAAACCACTTTGACTAGTAACCGCTTCTGTCAAAGTACTGTCTCCATCCCCTTGGTCCCACCCCACCCGTCAGAGGACCGGTGATCCCCTGAGCAGCATGGGTGGCTGCGAGGCAAGGACAATGGGCACAAGCAAATACGGCATAAATGATGATACTTGAAAATACAGGATTCATTCAGTAAGAGGAATATTTCTCTCTTTCTTTGTCCCTCTTTGTTTCTCCAAAGACACAACAATAACACAGGGCGCTGGTTAAGCAGGTTCCAAGCAATATGGGACCCTAAACAGGAAGACTGCTTCGTGGTGGGCAGCATGCTGCAGCCAAGACAGATCGAAGTCTTCCAGGACACTGGGAAATTGTTGCACTCCTTTTCCAACCTCAACTGCCTTAATTCCGTGTGTTCCATTAATGTGGTTCACCCCACTAAGAATGTCTTAGTGGGTGGCAACTCCAGTGGCCGCCTTCATGTGTTCAAAGATTAAAACACATGGCCTGGATTTTTATTTTTTCTTGCAATAGATTTGTTTAATCTGAATTAAACTGTTCCTCAGCTAACTGTATTTTCTCAGGAGAAAAATGTGTTGTAAAAGCTTTCAAATAAATCTTCTAAACTACCTTTAGCATTCTCTTCTTTAATTAAAACAAAATACTAATCCTGCTCTGACAGTCAGCCCATACCAAAACAGATCTTTTTCCCCAATACCAAAGGTATTTTTCAAAAAAAAGAAACCCCGCTGGATCAGTAGGATACTTGCTGTGAGTCTGAGGCACTTTTTAGCAATTTCCATGAGCGACTCTGGGGTGCTGGCTCCCTGCCAGCTTGGTGCTCCCCAGTGGGCACAAGCTACTCGGAGGTTCTGTGAGGAGATGTCTCGGACAACTCGTGGGGGGTGAGCACTGCTGAGGAGGGCAATTGGCTGCACCTCTCCCCATCCCTCCTGTTGGTGCCCAGAGTCTGAACTTGCCTCACTGCGTGGGTACAGCCAATGAGAACCTTCTGGAACAGCTACTGCGCAGGTGTCAGGAAGATTATGTAAAGACAACACCCCACGGGTGTCTTTGTTGACCCAACACCTACAGGCCAAGATGGCTACTCTATGGCCCTGTGGGATCCTGGTGGGAGATTCCCCATTTCCCACCCCCTCTTCTCTTTCCATTCTCTCTCTCACATAGATTTGTGTGGATTGTGATCAGCTGGTTATTGACAGGTTGTTTGGAAAAGAATCTCATTGCAAAAGTGCCTTTATTCCTCGGTTAGTCATCGGTTGGTCATTCCAAAGTGCCTTTATATGCTCCCTGAGGGTCGCTGAAGGTTATCGGTTGATTTGAAGGTTATCAGTTGGTTGGTTATCAGTTGGTTGTTCCAAAGTGCCTTTATTTGACCCCTAAAGGTGTCAGTTAATCAAGTTACCAACTAAATTGTTCCTCTGAGTCATTGTTGTGACTGGACCTGCCCTATGGCTCTGCTGAGCAGAGACTGAGCCACGACTGGCTCTTCCACTGGTGCAGACTCTTGGGAAATCCAAAAGATTCACCCCCCTCGTAACCCACCGTGTGGGATGCGACCCCAATCCCTTGGGGCCAGCGGGACTCAGTGTCCCCATCCCTTGGGGCTGGTGTTGTGCCCTTGGCCAGGCCTGTCCCCTCGGCAGGGTGGCTGGTGGCACCCTCCTGTGGCAGGGGGACGGGCTCGGTGCAGGCAGGTGCCACAGGTGTGGTTTGAGGGAAGCTCCATGGTTGTGTGTTGAACTTGGCCTTGGTGCGGAGCTGAGGGTGCTGTGGGCACTGCAGAGGGGTGGTGGGCCTGGCCGCTGTGTGCGGTTGCAGCCTCAGCCCCTCTGAGGAGGAGGGGCTGTGTCCCACCCCACAGCTTGGCAGAGCTGTGTCGTGGGTCACTGATGTGTCACATCGCATTTCACATGTCACTGATGTGTGTTGTGTCTCACTGACGTGTCAGGTCACATCTCGCATGTCACTGATGAGTGTCATGTCACGTGTCCTGAGTTACTGATGTCCATCATGTGTCCCTAGTGTGTGTCACTGATGTATTGTCACATGTTGTGTGTCACTCGTGTCACTGCTGTGCCATGGCTCAGTGGCACCAGGGCCACCATTAAGGCTGAGAAATGGGGAGAGGCTGTGGCTGTCACAAGCCCCGTCCCCTGCAGGGACCTGCACCCTGCAGGTTGGGTCGGCTTGGATCGTGTGGTCTGGGCGCTGCTGGCTCGGTGCTGCCAGCTGCTGCCGGGACAGGAATCCCCTTCGCCCCGATGTTACTCTGGGAGGGAGCTGGGATTTGGTTACTCTCTGGTCCTTGTCACTGCCGTTAGCTCTGGCCCGCACGTCCCCACCACTGCCTGCACTCACGGGGACACAGAATTCCCGTTATGGGGCTGCGCCCCCCGGGCTGCTTCCTGCTCAAAGGGCAAATCCCTCATGGGTCTCCAGCTAAGATTTTTGCTCAAGTGAAAAACCGGCACCGACACCACAAAGGCTGAATCTCATGCCAACTCTGGTTTTCGTGATATTTAAATATTTATTTAAATTTAAAAATACTTTTCATGGCACCAATGATTTTATGCTAACTAAGATATTGAATATGTAGAAAAAGGTACATTTGGAAGGAAAAATGTAACTTACAGTATTTGGCACATGAAAGGTTAATTTCTAGATTTTTTTTTTTTTTATGAAAACTAAGAAATTCACATTTTCAGGTATTTTACTGTCTACTGCTTAAAGATGCAGTATGCTATTATGAGACTTCTCTGATATAAGAACCTATGGAAACAACGTTTTAATATAAAGACAGGTAAAACTAACAGGTGGTGAAACACAAGACAGAATATGGAACATACAGGAAAAACATATACAATGAAAAATCACCAGTTCTCATGGTTTTGCAGTATAACGCTGGGTGACAACTGCAGAGGTAAACTAGGTCTGGCATTTATCGCTACGCTAGAGTAAGCCGATGCAAAAGGTTGCCAGGGTGGGTCCTCGGAGGCTGCGCTTGGTTTTGGAGGGAGGGGAGATGTCTCGGGTTCGGGCTGCGCTGTCATGACATGGCGCAGGACACCGGCCGCGAGGAGGAGGGAGCGCTGCATCTTCAACCCGGGGCGAAAAACATCATGTTTGGGACTACCACGCACTGCATAGAAACACCATTAACTACGGGCTGAGGTAGGAACACTACGCTAAGAGTTAATTTTGCTATGTTGCATAAAACAGGATTATCATGTAAAAATTGATTCCTCGGTCACTCGCGGCGGCTCCTGCCTGCTCAGGAGCCGGGGGCTGGGTGCCAAACCCTCCTCTGCCCTGGTGCTGGCAGCGGCGGCCGCGTCCCTGTCCTCGGCACCGAGACACCAGGGCCTGGCTCTTTATTCCCCCCCTGCCCCGCCAGGCAGTGCCTGAGCAGGGCCTCTCTCCGTTTTGCGGTGACAAACGACCCGTCGTGGCGTTGGATCGACCAACGTCATCGCGCGCTCCCACGCCAGGCGCTGGCTGAGGGCTGCGGGAGCTGGGGTGCGTGCCGGGGGGCGGTGGGCCGCTCCGAGACAAGAACACGGAAATCAGGCTTTGTAAAACTGCAGTTATGGCCCCAGCTGACATAAAAATCTCTCCCTGAGATGAAATAAAACTCGCTCACCTGTTTTCACCTTTTCTGTTCAGTATGTCCAACGCCTCAACCAAAACTTAACAGAACTGGCTTTTATTGCTCCCTGTGTAAATAGTCGGCGGCTTCCCAGGTAACGAAGGTCCCGGTGGTTGTGTCACAAGTACGACGAGTTGGTTTTATTGATTTTTGCTTAAGAACAGATGGGTCTAATGGCTGTCCATTGGCTTGTTCCGTGTCACCTCCACTCCTGTAGTTCTGTCCCTTTCATCTTCGGAGAAGTCACAAAATTAGAGCTCCTTTCTCTATTCCAAAACTAGCAATGGGTTAATCTGGTTTAGGCTTCCTGGCTACAAAAGCATTTACTCTTACCATTTGCTCTATGCGAACCGCTTGGTACAGCGGCACCACGGTCACCCAATCCATAAAGTAAAAAAAGACTTGATTAGATTCGATAACAAAATAGCATTTTGTTGTTAAAATAGACCTTGAAACAGTCTCTTTTTTTTGTTGTTTTTTTTTGTTTTTCGTACAAAATAGGTACAACTTTCGGAGGCTAAAGGTCTTCCTAATAAATCTGACGCGGTCGCCCCTGGCTGCGTGCCCAGGCTGGGCCGTGGGTGCCCGGCGTGCTCTTGCCTGTCCGTGCTCTCCCTGCCCTCGGGAGCACCGACACTTCAAGGCTTAGAAAAAAGTGATGAAAGGGCAAGTCGGCGGCGCAGGGCGAGGGCTCCCAGGGGGTGTGGAGAGCCGGCTCGCACACCTGCCTGCGAGCAGGGGGAACCGGGGCGTCCCCTGACAGCATCCCGCCACGCATCGTCACGTAGGAGACTCCAGTTAGTGGGAAGGGGTTTCTGCAAAGCGGTACTTGGAAGGAGGTGGGTGTGCACAGTGGCGGATTTAATAACGTAACAGTACATGAGTGCTTAAATTAATACTCAGTAGCACCATTTCTAAAGCTCCTGTGTAACGCGGCACCGCCGGGACGGGCGCAAGAGTAAAATCAATTCCTCTCTTTTTGCTTGGTGCTTCCAAAGTCCTACGTGCCTCTGTGAGAATCAAACGGTGAAGTGGTGTTGTGCGGGCTCCAGGGGTGGGAGCAGCGCGGCCGAACGCGGGGGGGAGGAGGCCCTGGGGGGGCTGCTGTGCCCACCACCCTCCTCTTCCTCCCGGAAAGCTGCCGCCTCGCCCGCGCCAGGCTCTGGGGCGGGAAGGGAGGATTTTAGTGTGGGTGTGTGCATGTGCCGAAGGTGCCGTGGCGGGTCCCGCACGTGGGGGACGGCAGCAGGTCTCTCCCCAGGCCCCCGGCTAGTTACGTGGCGGCTCCTGCCTTCAGGTGTCAATGAGCAGGCTTACCATGGCGCGGACTTTGCAGGCAAACCATCGCCTGAGGGGACAAAAGTATTGGTAATGGAACTGCTCGAACTCGGGGGTCTGGCGGATATCACGGAAAAAGGCAGTGTCAAGGTCGGACTCGGTAAGGACGATCAGGAGGAGGAGCAAAACAAAGAGGAGTCCAACTGTCACAAGGAGCAAACGGAGGACACTTAAAACAAACTTATTCACCTGTTCCGCCTGTGCCGCCCCCAGGCCGCCAGCACCGGGGCAGAGGGCCCGCAGCTCGCCACCCGCCTCCTCCGCCTCGCCCAAAACTGGTGTGCCGGCCTCCGACTCCTTCTCCTCCTCGATGCTGCACGGGGCCCCGTTCGCCTGCCGCGAGAGCAGCATCAGCTCCAGGCTGTGCTCGGCCACCGGCGTGGGCAGCACGCTGTCGGCTGGGCTGTAGTTCTCATCGGCAATGACGGCTACCCGCTCGCTGCTCTCGGCACGGCCGCTGCGCCCGGGGGCTGTGAAGGCGTCGCCGTGGGAAGCTGAGCGCACCGGGGTTGAATGGGCACTGTCACGCAGAGACTCCAGGCCTGGGGGGGCAACAGAGGGGGAGAAAAAAAAGAGGGAATGCTCAGTGGTATGGAAAGGGGGTCCTGCATCACCCAGCACTGCCCTTGACGCAGCAAAGGTGCCCCGGGTTGGTTTTTGTCCCTTGGGGCCGGCAGCTGCAGCCCATGGCAGCTTGTGACTGTGACAGTGATGCTCTAACACCCCTCTGACCTGTCACTGTCACTGACAGCCACAGGCAGGGGCCTGTGCTTGTCGGCAGTCGATCACAAACACATCCTGGTGCCATAACCACTCTGAGGTGACAGCCTCGCAACGCCAGCCCCTGCCCGGGGGTGGGTGATGCTGCGAGCAGGCTGCCCCCACTGCCGGGACAGGGGCAGGAAGCACAGCCATAGCAGCAGTGGCAGCGTGCAAGGATGGGGTGGGGAACAGAAACACCCCCCAAAGCACAAGCTATCCCCACAGCACTGTAGGAGTCAGCTGAGCCTGCTGCATCCCTCAAGGCGATCCTCGGGGATTTATCCTTGTGAATTTACCTCCTGTCTGGCACAGCCCCCCCCTCCCCACACCCCAGCACCCTGAGGAGGTGCAGTGGGGTCCTGGCCACACCACAGCCACATGTGGGCAGCATGGCCGACCCTGCCAGGGGAGCCCCAGGAGAAGTAGCTGTCCCCAGCCTTGAGGTGAGGAATTAAAATCATGAGGAAAGTGAGGCTGTGTCTGCCTGGCGAGGGGGAGATGACAGAGCAGGTGGGAGATGCGCAGCCCCCCCCAGCAGCCAGGTCTGTGGGGACGCCAGCCCTGAGTCACTGATCTCCTTTCTAGTGATTTGCTAAAAAAATGTTTTACATGCAGGAACAGGAGCTGTGTGCCAGCCCACCCCACCACACGCCTTGTCAAGCCAGAGCTACAGCCCAGCTGCCCTCTGTGCTGGGGCGAGGGGACATCTCCCCCCCACCCCCCAAATTCCAAGAAACCCCACAAGCGCAGGAATTGTTTCTTGCAGTTTTCACAGTGGTTCTGCCATCACAGTGCCCCGTGACACGGGGAGGTGGTGATGGCCGGGACCCGCGGGTCCCCAGTGCTACCCCGCAGCCAGGGCTGGATGTTTTCCCCAGCGGGGAGGGCACTGCCAAAGGGTGAAGCGAAGGGCCTGGAGCCTGTCCTGCCTGCATTCCCCGGGGCTTTGCAACCTCTCGCTTGTAAATACTCCCCGGATGCCTCCGGCTCAGCGCGGCTTAACGCAAGTGCCACTGCGGGCGCTGCTGGGGCAGCTCCGCCGATGAGCGTGGTGGAGGAGGAAACCTGTTCTCAGCCTGAGAGCTGTTTCCAGTTCGTGTGAACGTCCCCTCGCTGCACTGGCCGTGTCCCAGACGGGGTGGGCACCCCCCGGGGCAACCAGCAGCTCAGCTCCCCAACGGAGGGGATCCCCCTGCTCAGCACTGTCATGAGAGCGCTGCCCCCCCCCCCGACCCAAACTTCCTCACCACCTGCTTGTTTCACAGGATTGACGCAAAAAGCTGAAGAAACTGGGAAAAGCTGGGTCCAGCCCCCAAACCGGAGCTGCTTTGTGGTAATAACAACCCAAGGGCCAGCCAGCATGGGAGCCCCCAGCCCGCTCCCTCCCCACGCATCCTGCACCCCACATCCCCCTGAGCTGTGCTCGTGGGGACCCCCGGGGACACCCCTGCCGAGGAGGAGCCCAGACGCGGCACAGCCCAGTGGCTTGGTTACCTGGGCCCTGCGGAGCATCGCGGTCGGGAAGCGCCGGGAGAAGTGGCAAAGCCCCCAGAGCCCGGGCCAGCAGCCGTGGCCCCAGGGCCAGCACCCGGACCCTCACTGCCCGGCAGCAGTGGTTGATGAGCCGCAGGTGGACGCTGACTTTGGTTTTAATCTTGATCAGGCACTTCACCATGGCGGCAGCGGGGCTGCGAGGGGACGTAGGGACGGCTGCTCGCCCACCAGCACGGCTGACGCAAGTGGGACTGGCCCTAGGCTCGGGGCTATTTTGGGCTCCCGCATTTCCACGGGACCCAGCTGAAGTGAGAGTGAAGAAAAGCAGCTGCCAGGGCAGGGGTGGTGCCGGGAGGCCGTGACACCTCGGGGTAATTTATTGTGGGAGGCTATTTAATGCTCTCGCCGCTTCGCAACGGCACGCGGGGAGGCTGGGAGAGGGTGCTCACATTTAACTGGGTGGCAGAGGTGACCCCGTCTGCAGCTGCCGGGCACGCTCCTGCACCCCCCAGATCAGTGCAGGCATTGGCCTTGGCCTCCCTTGATGGGCAGAAATTCTGTTCCTGCTCCAAGGGACCCATCCCTTCAAGCCAGCAGCATTTCTGCACCCTGCCCGTGCCCGTAGCCCAGGGAGGGGATCGGTGCGGCCATGCTGGAGCAGGGGCTGGTTCTGCAGCCAGTCAGGTGCAGGGCACGACTGCAGGATGCAGCCACCCCCTCTCCCCACGCTCCTTAACCCACCTCTTATCTTTCCAAACTTCTATGCACCCTCACAGCCAGACAGGGACCGGGGGGACCAGCCTCCGCACTGCAGGCTGGCCCGGCAGGCTGGCAAGCTGTTGGCAGTGGCCGCTGGCCAGCCAGGAGCAGCTCCCAGCTGGGTGATAAGTTATTTTTGCAGCTTGTTCCTGTGTGTGGCCAGACACTGGCCTGGCAGCTCTCAGCAATGCTCTGCCGAGACCTTGCAGATAATTTAATCTAAATAATGATTGTTGAGGAATTCTCGTCCACTTGCTTCTGCACTGGAAACTTTCTTCCCACCCCCTGCCCTCTCTTTACCTGGGCTCAACTACTGCTGCCAAACTGGCCCTGAGCCACAGGAGCAACATCTGGTGCCACCCAGCCTTGCTGCAAGACCCTGGAGACACAGCAGGGACCCTCAGGGGCTACAAAAATCTGTTTTTTATCTGGGTGTGTGCATGGGCTTTTGGGGGTGTGTACGTGCGTCCATGTGCATGTCCCCGGGGCTGCCCCATGCCCTACCTTCCATGATGGAGATGTGCACGGCTCTCCTCCGGGTGCGGGGCACGCTGCTCAGTCGGGGGCCATGGGTGATGGAGGGGCAGCTCCGGCTTGGCACCAGCCCTGCCCTGGGGACCAGAACGGGGACAGTGTCAGAGCCCTGGGCAGTGCCAGAGTCACAGGCATGTGGCAGCTCTCCCGCTTCAGTCCCTCCACCGCCCTGGGAAGCCGGGTACTGAACGCCATGGGGGTGGGCCCAGCCCCGTGGACTGCACCGCGCCGCTGCTGCCGGGCTCTTACCGGTGAATCTCAGGGGGCTCCCTCTTGATCTTGGCACTGGACTCCATCACCTCCTTTGCAACACGGCCACTGCAGGAGGTTCAAGAACAGCAACCCTCAGGACGTGGGCACTGCATCAGCCAGCCGTGAGCTCCCCCCACTGCACACCGCGCCCCGGCACAGCCTGACCGCTCCCTGCCCCAGGGGGGCCCTCCCCGTGGCTCCAGAGGAAAGCAGAAATATTTGCTGGAAATCGGGGTGATGGAAGAGCAGGGAAAGGCTGGGCTGGCACCTCCACCACCACATTTTGCTGCTTCTCCTGGCATGAGATACTGTGGGCTCACCTCCTCCTGGGGAGGGGGGGACACACCATGAGCATTGTGCAGCGGGGGATGCGCTGGGGTCTCTTGTCCTGCAGAGATATGAAGTCCCGGGTCCAGACTCTCCCTCACAGGCCAGGGAGGAGCAACACCTCCCAGGAATTTAAGAATTGCTGCATTTCACTCCTTGTTGTTCTCAAAAACCAAACCTCAAAGCCCCAGCCCATTCTCTCCCCTCCTCCACGCCTGTCTCTCCAAAAATCTGCAGTTCTGGGGCTGGGGAGGGGGGTCTCGGCTGTGAAACTGGGAAGGGAGCAGTGATGGCAGTGCTGCACCAGGAGGGCCTGGGGTGGCAGGAGGACCCTCAGCAAACCCTCGGGTCTCCACAGCCCCGAGCTGCTCCCTGCAGTACACCTGAAGGAGCAGCCCCAAACACACCCAGTAGCTGCTACTTACTGTCACTATTTACCTGTATCGGAACCGGCTTCCCTTGAAGAACAAGTTGCTGCTGGACACGGTCCGGACCTGGCTCGACTTCTCCAACCTGCGACGGCACCAAGAGCCACGTGAGCATCCTGTGCTGCCGGCCCGGCACTGGGCGCCCAGGCAGGGCACGGCACCGGCACTGCCTCACGGCAAAGCCTTCACCCTGTTTTCGCATCGGCTTCATCCCCAACAGACCAACCCCCGGCATCGGGACAGGAGCTGTGTGCTGCTGGCACACGGCAGCGAGAAAAGCGAGTCCTGGAGATGCCAAACGCCACCAGGGATGAAAGCAGCTACCGGCCACAGTGGGGTGGCACGGACCCACGACTGGAGGGGGGCTGCAGCTCCCCCAGGTCCCCCAGTGAGCACCTACGGGGCTGAACCCTCCGGGGGTGCCGTGACCTGGCAGGGGTGCAGGGACCAGCTGGCCGTGGGGAGAGCTGCCAGCAGGGACAATCCCATCTCCCAAGCCCGTGGAGGAGCCCAGCAGCCCCTCAGCCCAGCCCACAGTCCACTCCATTACGCTGTGGTAATTTACTGACATGATTAATCCTTCAAAGATTTGTAAAGCAATATTGCAATTTCATTTCATGTTCATATAATGAGAAATGAAACCTGCTGATTGCAGCTGCTGATTGCAGTATTCCCAAAGAGAATACATCACACACTTTCTCTTGCATCTTGCTGATTAAAATAAAACTAATTACAAAGCATGAAACAGGCTATTTTTAAGTACAACATGAGCAGGATTGTAAAACCAAACCGTTCCACCTGGCTCCTCCCTGGGTTTTGGCACAGTCCAGCCTCTCCCTTTCTGGCTGACATCCCCATTCACCAAACCAGGGGCAGAAAAGCTGCAAACGAGGGAGCCCAGAACTCCTGGGGAGAGATAACACGTTCCCCCTCCTCCCCAGGTGAGATCCCAGTCCAGATATGCTCCCAAAGCCGGGCAGCGGGTGGGGACAGTCCCTCAAGCCACTGTCCCCAGCTGCCCCGACTTGTGGCTGCAGCCCAGACTGCTGGTCACCTCCCCAGTCCCTTGAATATCTCCCATGAATAATTGTTCCCAAAGAGCTTAGAAGCAAATTATTTCTGAAAGTTTTTTAGCCTTCTCCAGCATAAGGCAGGCTTTTTGAAAGCACCTGGGGCACTCAGCTTCAGTGGGGATTTTTGTGCAGGATTCAGCTCAAACAGACCCTGCGAAGCCATTTTGAAAATCCACCTTCAAATATTAGGTCAGAAAACACCCCGAGTTTTGCTGCTGCCTCTGGCACCGGCCACGCCTGCAGCACCTAAGCAGCCAGCTCCGAGCAAGCAGCCATTAACACAGAAAATGCTAAAACATGTTGCAGTCGGGACGTGTGCTGGTTGCTGGGCATTAAAGGTTGAATCTCCAAACAATTGGTTTTAATCTCTTGATTAAAGGTTTGCTGGGGAGGGATGAGCGCAGAGATGGGGGGCAGGAGGGACAAAGCTCGTTGATTTTGGTGGCTGGTGACTTCACCAGGGCCACTGGGACAGGGGTGCCTGCCAGCCAGTGACAGCCCATGCCTGGGTCCCAGTACCCGGCTGGTGCCATTGGGCGGGTGCCGTGCGGGGCAGTGCCAACCCGCAGGGAGATGCCAACCACCTCCTGACATGTGCTCGCACGGCCCGGCACTCACTTGTAGAAAGCCTGGTTTTCTATCCCACACTTCCAGAGGTGCTTGCAGGCTTCTGGTGTCGGGGCAAAATACGTAAGAACAATTTTCTTTTCCTAAAGGAGAAGGACAAGGAGTCAGCAGAGAAGAAGGAAGTGGTGCCCACCCAGAGGCCAGAGCAGAGCCTGCTCCAGAGCCGCTCAGGATGCAGGGAGAGGTTGGAGCATCAGCTGACATGCTGTGAGGGATGGGCAGCCAGGGACCTGCCACCCATCTCCTCCACCTTACTGACCTTTTTAAATATCCACAAACATGTTTTTTAACAAGTCAGGCTGCTGATCTGTGTGGGAGCCGATTCAGCCAGAGGTTTACAGGCTGATTTCGTTAACTGGAGCTGACCCAGCAGGACAGTGGTGACAAGTCACCACAATAACCCCAAAGGCAGCACGTGGCTGTGGCGGGCAGAGCCCTCAGCATGGCCCTGCCCGGGGCTAACCCAGTGTCTGCAGGCTCTAACGCCCAGAGCAAGGTGCCAGCAGGAGCGGGGAGGTGATGCCAGTGCTGCCACCGAGCTGCAGCCCCTGTCACTGTGCCCGTGTCCCTGCACCGCAGGAATGGGGTGATGCAGCCGCCTGCCAAGCTCACGGAGAACCTGCTGAAGTAACAACTGCAGCTGCGCTCGGGAAGCCCCACGGGGAGGGAAAGCACTCACCTCCTTCTGGCTGACGTATAAATAGAAAGTCTTTCCTTCGAATTTCATCTTGGTCACCTCATTCCTGAAAGGACACAGACAGGCAGGTGGGCGGCTGCGCAGAGCCCACCGCAGCCCGGCCAAGCACTCACTGGTGGTTTTGGGCAGCCTTGAGCCCCTATTTTCCATCCCTGGGGTGTGCCACGGGGCTCAGAAACCGTCAGCTGGAAAGGGGGTGCCCTGGGGTGAAGCTGAGGGTCAGTGGGGTGTCCTGGAGGTGCTGGGACTCTGTCACACAGGCACTGTCTGGGTGGCAGTGAGGGACACACTGCCCCCACTCTGAGGTGCAGCAAAGACCAAGGAATAACATGACCAGGTTCAGAGGGGCTGGGGAGGCTTTTGGGGGGATTTTGGGGGGCTCAGGCATGGGTACTGGGTGCACTTACTGCCATCCCATAGCAGGCACATCGCCTGGGGCAGGCAGCCAGTGCTGGGATCACCCCGACCATGCGAGCATCCCATGAACACCCTGGGGTGACAGGGGGCACTCGTGGCCCCTGCGATGGGACCCAGCGAGTGGGAGCGAGCCAAGGGTGCGGCCCCAAGTGAGCAGGGCACCATGGGTGATGCCGCAGCAGGAACTCACCATTTGATGAAGTGAACTCTCTTATTTCCTTGCAGAACCACAAAACCAAAGGGAGTGAAGGCCAAGAACGCCGCGTTCCCCGACACATCCTGGAAGACAACAGCAATGTCTCATCAACATGTTGCCAAACTGGCAAAACCTGTAGCCCAGCGGTGACCCGCAATCCCAAAGGCGTTGGCCCTGAGAGATCCCCCGCCCCAGCTCTGCCCGCAGGATGCTCCTGGCAGGTTCCCCCCAAGCCTGGCAGCAATACCTGCAGCCGAGCAATGGGGAGCTTCTTCAGCGGTGCTGCCGAGGAGAAACTGCAGTTTAAAACCAGTAATTAGTGTCATGTATGGAGCAAGGCAGCAGTTTAACTTAATCATAACATCTAGACTCCGGGGAAATGATCATTAATTGCACTGGTGTGCAGGGAAAAACAGATACATGCTGAATTTTAAAAGTATTATGAAGCAGTCATGGCCACTCAGTAATTGTTAGATTCGCCGTGACTTTTATTTGGCCAGCAGACATTCAGATGGGTTTCAAATGATGCTGAGCTGGAGCCAAGGTGTATGCCAGGCTCTGGATTTCTGGTGCACGGGGCAGGAAAAGCAGGCAAGGAATTTCACAGGGGTGGTTGCAGAAGAGTGATGCCTGTTTGGTGTCTGTGATGTTTCCTCAGGGGAAAGCATGAGATGTCCCGTGCCCAGGATCTCCCCAGCTTGGGGGTACAACCTCTGCCCCCAGTTGTGTCTTTCCCTGGTTTAATCAAGAGATGAGACAATTTCTCTGCTGTCTGCTTCCCTCCCCGGGATGCTGGATCTTGGTTACTCTGCTGGCACGGTGTAGGGATGGCAGCGAGGCAGCCTTCTGATAAGATCGCTTCTGAATTTGGCAGAGAACAAATTTGTTTTCAATCCAGATTAGATCAAAAATCTGTCTTAATCTGTCAAGGGTGAGTGGCTAAAAGCAAAGAGCCCTGAACCTCAACGCAGTATCCTGCAAGGCAAGATGTAACTCCCCAAACTCATTGAGTCAGGGACGCAGCAGCTTTGTCTTGCAGAAGTAAGATTTCTGTGCACCTTCAGAGAAACCTGCCCATAGGGAACGCACCAACCTGGCAGCAGCTCCGGCCCTGGGCTGCCCAAAGCACTTTGGCTCTTTCCCAAATCTGGGAAAACCTTCGGGAAAGGGAGAAGTGGGGTCTCAGCAGAGGGACGTGCCCTCCCAGTGGGTGTGGACCCCCTCACCCCCACACCCCCCCACTCAGCTCGGCCGTGCCTGGGGCTGGTGCTGCAGCTGTGGGCAACAAGCGGGGAGCTCAGAGATTAACAGGGACCTTGGAGATTAATGGGGTGTCAGGCTGGAACCCACACGGGTCTGGGGTTGCTGCTTTGGGAGGGAGGGAGCTGGGCTGCGGAGGCTCAACAGGGGCTGGAGATGCTAAATGGGGCACAGGACCCTACGGGGAAATAAGAGCAAAGCACAGACCCCCCAGCATTGCTCCCAGGGCAGCATGGCCCAATTCAGCCGGCACCTCCTGCCTGGCAACCACTTTGGCAATCGCAGACCACCAGTAAACGGGACCCCTTCTGCCCAGGCCACGTGTATTTACCACAATTGTGTATTTACATGGCATAGTTCAGTTAGAAGCCCCAGGGGACCACAGAGCAGACACTGCCCTTAGAGTAAAATTCTCCCTTTGCTTTGCATCCTGCATCCATCTGCATGTGATGGGATTATAAGAGACCAGAGAGAACCACACGCAATGACATCTACAGTCAATAAAAAGCATTTCAAACAGAAAACTGGATTACTGGCCCAGGAAGAGCAGAGCAATAGACTGTCTGTGGCAGATGAACGCTTGCTGGTTTCTCAGACACATTACTGACCTTGTTACTGCCTCCAAATTACAGGGTTTAGTAGAAGACGATCGGCCACTGTCTTTTATAGCTGTCTGCATGTGAAAATGCTTTCTGACAGCTTCCCTAAATGCCCTGGGGAAGGATTTCAGAGCCTTCACCCTCCCAGCTCCCCTCCATGCACACCCACCCACCTGGGGCTGGGTTCTGAGGCTGGAGAGGGCTGATGGCTCCAGCACATCCCACCCACCATGGCTCTGCCAGCGCAAAAACCCGCTGCAGGTGGCAAATGGCCATGCTCGGGACCAGCTACTGGCACCTCTGCAGCTTGTTACTGGCTGAAGTGGGAAATCCAACGCAAGGAACAGTGTTACAAAAATTGTTTTACCTTGCAAGGGTGTGGGTCAACCCCATAGGTCTCCAGAGTCTGGGCTTTCCTGAGGAAATTCAGCTCTGAAGTAGCTGGTGTCTGCCCACTACAGGAGGGAGAAAAAAGAATATTCCATGGAAGATACAAAGGTGAAAGTCAGCTCTTGGCTACAGGGTTTCTGTTAATGACAAGAGGCTTCAGTTGTGGCCTGCTCCCCTTACAGTTGTCAGTGCAATCAACCTGCAGCAGGAGACTTGCACTGAAATGCAGCCTTCCTTCCCCTGCCAACCTAACCTAGCAGGATACGCCGAACCAGCAGGACTAGGAAGGAGCAAAATTCAGGAGCATCTGCAAAATTGAGGGCTGAATTGCCTAGAGGCGGCACAAGCATTTCTTCCGGGAAACGGGAGTTTGATGGGCAGAAGGCAGCAGCCCCCAGCACGTGAGGGCACAGCTCAGCTGGGTTTCTGGGAGGTTAAAACCTCACTGGCCATCCCGTTGGGGTTTACTGATGGTCTCTCACACCTCGTGTTCCCAGAGCAGGGTGAAGACAGGAGGGGAGATGGCAGGAAGGGGGGGACAGGGGGTCCCCATCCTGCCAAAAAGACCAGAGACACCCCCCCCTGGTTGTGCTGGCTGAGCCAACAGCAAGAAGCAGGAGAAACCCCTAGGCCCTCCCTGGGGCAGGAAGGATTGGGACTGATTTTGCCGCATTGCCGGTGTATTTTTTTATTTGTCTGCGCTCTCCGCAGCTTGTCCTTGGCCGCTCGATGACGTTTTCTTTTCAGCAAGCAGAGGTTTGGCGGGACACAGCAGCTCCTCTCGCAGGGTGATTTGTTGTGATGCCTCTACACCATCAACGACCTGCTTTCCTAAAGCTCTGCTCTGCGTTTTTGCTGTTACCAACACTGCCAGGAGCACCACTGGCTCTCGGCAGGATCTGACACACAAGAACCGTGAGTGCTCATCCCATGGTATAACTGAAAATCCCAAACAGGGATAAAAATCAGTCAAGCATCAGTAATCCCTCCAGCAGCTGACACTCCTGCTCAGCGAAGCTGCCCGGCCATACCTCAGCTCTGACTTGTGAATCTCCGCAATTTTCCTCTCCAGCTTCTCTGAGTGTTTGGGGAAGAACTGGAACTTGGAGCTGTAGCCTTCCGGGTGCTTCCCTGGGTCGTAATCCCCAATCTCAGCTGGGGGGAGACAGAACCTGTCAGGAACAGCAGCACAACCCAGACCACGGTGTGTGTCCCCATCCCAGCAGCATCCCAGGAAGCTGCTGCAGCCCTGCAGTGCTTCCCAGCAGGAGGGATCATTAACTGCATTAAATGAATTTCACTGCTTGCTTGGGAGTCACCTGGCAGCAGGTGGTCACTGTCCCAAATTTATTAATTCCTCACCTATTTGCAAAGAACCTCCCGGGAGCTGTACTGGGTCTGTCAGTGGCAGTCCTTGGGTGATGGGCCCCGAGCATCCCTGGGGGCACCCCCGGCCCCCACCTGGATCCCAGTTGGGAACACAGTGGCAAGTGAATTCTGCTCCCAACTGCATCTTGAACAAATATAACTAGTTGGAAATCCGTAAAGTGACATTGACAGAAGCTCCTTTTCCTCTATTATTCCCAGGCAGCGGGGCAGAGGGCTGCCTGCAGCAGCGGTGGGCAGGGATTGATCCCTGCCTGGAAAAAAATGCTTCAAGCCTGGGCAAGCTGCATGCACAGTGATGGCAGCTCTGTCCTGAAACTAGGGTGCAGAAACGCCCAAGACACTGATTTCTGAGCTGAGCCCTGCTCTGTCTTTGGCGCGGGCTGACACAGCTCCGCTCCCCCTCCCCGCACCCCACGGGAGCTGGCAGCGATCGGATCGCCTCTGGCATCTCACTGTCGCAGGGCTCTGTAGCAGGTGTCTCCTGCTGGGATTTACAGGAATCCAGCAGCCAACCACCATGGGGGATGAAAGGACCTTGCTCTGATTTAATTCCCTCCAGCCTCAGGTCCTAAGACGTTACATTAATTTTTATGATTCCTGCTTAAAACACTAAAAGGGGGGAAACACACCAGCACTGTGAAATAACTCAAAAACGCTTTGGAGCTGAAATTTGACTTTTTTGGTTGCTGGGCTGAATCTCCTCAGCTCATCCCATCGCAGAGAGGGGCCCTGGCTTCGCACTAAGCCCAGCACCCTTGGGTGGAGGACCCCACTTTCTCGGCTGGCATCACAATGCTGACGGCACGTCAATGTGTTTTCCCTCCATGCCAGCACCTCCCAGCTCTTCCAAACACCCTGATGGCCCTCGCTGAGCACCTGTGTGTTCCCCCACACCGAGCAGATACTGGCCACCTCCGTGCTGTTGGTGCCAGGGGCAGCAGAGGCAAGAGCAGACAGAGCCATGTGGGCAGGAAAGTAGTCAGAAGGGCACATCAGGGCAAGGGGTTTTCTGAGGTTTTTTCCACCTCCTGCTCCAAACCCCACCAGTGCCTCTGCAGCTTGCTAGGAGCAAATGGCAGCACGGTGCATCTGCTGTGGGTGAGACCCCAGCATCCATCCTCACCCTGCTCTAGCCCAGCACTGCGCGGCACAAGCTTGGCCTCGCAGCGCAAGCCCTGCACTGTCGGGATGACATTTGTATTCCAGGTGCAGTGATCTGTTGTAAGTGAAATAATGTAATCGGTACTTAGCATGAAAAGCAAATTTATCTTGTCAAAAAGCATTACCTTGAAGGATATAGGCAGCCAACAAAGCAGCATCCGAAGTCTTGCAGAGGAGACGGCCGTGGTAGAGATCCCTTTTGATCTGCAGGAAGACTAAATACCTGAGGACAGAAGAGATAGTCCATTTATTAAGCAAAGTTATTAGGCAAAGTTTAAATTACCTAAACAGGCAATTTAGATGTGGAATATCTTCCATGAGACACCTGCACTAACATTTCTCTCCCAGCAGCCCATTTCCCAGACATTATGCTTGTAGGAGCGAACAAGTGCTAACTACTGGGCAGCTCCCCTGGTCAGGGCCAGCACTGATCTACAAGTCCTGGCCCTGCTCCAGCCCACTGGGTCATGGCACCTGCTCCAGGGCTGGCACCTGACTGGAGGGCTGATGGAGAGCTCCACCGACCCGGCTCTCACCCACACGGCTGCTCAGCAGAGACGAAGAGCTCCCCTGGGCACAGAGATACTCGGATGCACGTTCCCACTGGAGAAAACAGGGAAAGGAAGAAGCTCGTGGACGAGGAGGTGACGGTCCCTTCTGCCTGCCAGACCCCGGCGTCCTTTGCTTCTCCCTGTTTTGGACCATCACAAGGTCGTGGAGTGCCGAGGTGCCCACAGATGCTCTGTGAGGGGGTCTTGTGGTCCTGAGCCCACCAGTGGCTGCTGCGTTTCCCAGCCCTGCATCCTTGCCGGCGGCTCAGCTTCCCCATAATGTGATTTTTTCTCCTTCCCTAACTTTCTGTATCTTCCAGGTCTCTGCGTACACACCCACTTCCCTCCATCAGCTATAGCGAGCCACCTCTTGCGTTTGCCCATCTCTATCTCCATGCACCAAAGCCCAGTGAAAAGATAAACTATGTTGAAAAATTACATATTTGAATAAAATTCAACCTAAGTAACAGTTTGGGCTAAGTCATGTGGCAGTGCACTTGGGAAAACCTTTTGATGGTAAAATATAAGTCACAGAGTGAAGGAGTAAAATGGAAATTGGATGCTCGGAAATGTGTTTAAATAACCAAACTTGCACTCTGCAATATCTCAGTCATGCTTCATTTCTCAAATCCGTATTTATGATGAGATAAACCACTAATTTTCCAGATAAAATGTATTAAAGAGAAATCCAGATATTAAAGTGTACTCGGTCCAGGGGAAAGTGAATTTTAAGTGCAGGTTTCAGCTGCAGTTGCAGGCACACCTCGAAGGGCAGCAAGCAGGGGCAGCCCACCGCCACGGGGGCTCGTCCTGGTGCCGCGGGGGCCCCGCGGGGGTCCCGTGGGGGACGGTCGGACCTGGAGCCCAGCCCTGGCTCCACACCCGCCTCTGCCGCAGGGCACAGAAGGGGTCGGAGGGGGCTGCAGGCCTAAAGCTGAGCTCAGGCTTTACTCGCGGGAAGGAGAACACGGTTTTGTGCTCCCAGCCCACCGCTGCCCCCAGACTGCCGAGGGCTCCACGTGGTGGCCAGGGCTTCCAGCGCTCCGGTGCCAAACCTGCTGCTGCCCGAGCACGCCAGCCTGGAGCCAGACCCCCGGCTCGGCTGGCCCTGTCCCAGCACCTAGCACAGACCCTCAAAAATGCATAATCCAATGGGTTTAGCCCAGCCCCCTGCTCCCTCTAGGCAGGGCAAGTCTGTAGCTCTGGGCTGGTTTTACATTCAGGTGCCAAGCAGGATTTCCAAAGCCTCGCTTATGCCTTGGAAATATCCCTGGGAAAGCCGGGCTGTGGGATGAAGCTGCCTTGAGAAAGGATATTAAAGACGGGAAATATTTTTGAGCTTGACCCAGCCTCATCCCCGATGTTCTCTGGGTCCAGCTCCCACCCTCACAAGGGTAAATCCCTGACCCGTATTTCAATTCTCTTTACTGGCTTGACAACTGCAGATGTTTGCTAAGCTGTGATTAAAGGAAAGAAATACAATTAACATACTATATGTGCAGCTTAATGCCCACATAAATAGCCGTCGTTACTCAGAGACTTTCGCCATTTCACATTTAAATGAAGGTCTGATGGCTGTGGCAGTTGCTGGGAGTAAATGTAAAATCTGCAAAGTAAATAAATGCCTCAAGCAAAACAAGGAGATGTATCCGTGTGAAACTACTCCCGGGCACTTCTTTGGGTCCCTTAAAATGCTTCTGTAGGAAAAAACAGATCAATCCCACCCCAGAAAGCTGATTACAGCGCATGGCCCCGCACCAGCAGAATGCCTGGCATTCTGAGCTGAAGACACTTGTAAAGAGGCCCATCAAACGCACCCAGGGCTCTTTACAAATGCTTCGCTCCTCATCTGCATCCCTGTCTGAGTTCAGGCCCAAGAACAGAGCCTTTGTCAGGCTTCCAAACAACATCTGAAGGGTTTTTTTAGTTCTGATTTTTGGGTCCTTCTGTGAAACACGAGCAAAGATTTAATTAATTTTGTACATTATCATGAGGAAACCAAAAGAGTTTTTGAAACACCTCAACATCCTCTACTTCCTCTAACTGATCTGTCCAACACAAAACCAGAGTTTACTAATGCAAAACTGATGTAAAAAGCTGAGCCTAGGTGTATTCCAAACACGCTGCATGACAGGCTGAGGGAGCCCAGACATCCTCTCTCATTTGCTGCCCGCAGAAATAGACTGAAAATCCCAAGAATTAAATCCTGGAATATATTTAGCTCTATCAGTAAGCCTACTTAATTCTCCATAAGCTTAGCACGGTCCCCAGTTATACATCTGGAATACGGAATGGCAACAGAGCACCGTCCCCCGGACCTGGAGGATCCACAGCCGGGGCTGGGATGTGCGGAGGGATTGGGGGCTGCGCGGAGGGATCGAGGAGTGCACGGCGGAATTAGGGGGCTGCACGCAGGGATTAGGGGGGTGCACGGAGGGATCGGGGGCTGCACAGAGGGATTGGAGCTGCTTGGCTTCAGGCTGCTGAGGCTGAGCCACTCGAGTGAGTGACAAGGGTTATTTGAGTGACAAGGGCTATTTGCCACCATTTGAGGGTATTTGGGGCCAAGATGTTGGGGGTCGGGCAATTGCAGCAGTGCAACACGACATTCAGGAGGTGCTGTGCTACTTTTGACCCCGGTTTTACAGGTTAGCGGGGGCCTTCCTTCTGCAAGAGGGGCGACCTCCTGCCTTGGACTAAGGTACGTCACAGGCAAAAGCCAGCGTAGGAAGAGGGGAGCACTGCAGATGCATACACAAATAACAATGTTTTTTCCCCATGCCCAAACTCTTTGTTCACCGATGCAGCTCACTGGCTTTGTCTGGAGCCCTCACCCTCACCCTGTTTGGCAGATGAGACCCTACAAGTTCTGGGCCCTTTCACACCCCAAACCTCGAGCCAGGCCATAGTCAGGAAAAGCATTTCTGCAGCCATTTCTTCACGTCGCTTCTCCAGATACTGGCCTTCCCTGCCCTCGACTTCACATTTGGGCACATGCAAATGACTAAAAGCAGAAGAAAAGTGAAACATTACCCTCCCAGAGCTTGTTGTGAGAATCAGACGCTCCTGCCACAGTGACCCGGCTCCAGGGGGTCAGCAGCTTTCACTTTTTGCCCCAAAACACTTTTGGAACCTTTGAATCAATTTTATACTTTTCTTCGCAGTCTGCAGATGCCCACGCACCAGGACTGAGCCGACAGACTTTCTACGGTACAAACAGGCCCCTGCTTTGAAGCCAAATATTCTGAAAATCAGGGTGGCAAAGCGCAGCCCAGCAGAGCGGAGCAGCAGACGCTATCGATGCTGACCCAGTGCCCGGCCAGGGCCCTTCTGCCCTCCCGCTCCGGGTTCTCCCCGGGCAGAGCTCTCAGATGCTCCAGAGAGGTACGAGTCAGGGAGGGGTCTGCGGAGCAGCCCAGCCCCACATGCCAAAACCCGCCGCCTTCACCCAGAGGGAGCTGGGCTGGGGTGCTTTAGCATCAAAGGAAGGTCACCAGTCCCTTAGTCATCATTAGGTTCTCTCTGTTTTTTACTGTAAATTTTTGGATGCCTTTAAGAAGCAAATTTTCCCCACAAGACAATAGAGAATAAAGGGGAACTGAAGCTGTCTGGAGGTAGGCACAGACTTGGCACTGTGTGAGCCCAGTGGCAGCCAGGCTGCCTCCATCCCTGGAGCTGGCGGAGCAGAGTGGTCCCTGCATGAGCGGTCCCTCCTCTCCGCATGGCATCAGAGGAGGACCCTGGTGAGCGGGAGCTGCTGCCCAAAAGGTGACAGTCCCCCGATCAGCCAAAGCACCCTGATGGCAAATCCCAAGTCCTGTCCTGGGCACAGGGCTGGCAAAGGACCTTGCAGCCCTGCCGGTGACACTGTGCCAGGGACAAGAGCAGGACAGACCCAGGGGACACCACTGAGTTACAGAGGTTCATCTGTGCCACCTCTCTTCTACCCACACCCTGAAGACTGAGCCTGCTCCCAGTCCCAGGCATGCTGACACACCACCTTTCACACTCCCGCCTTGTCTGACAATGCAGAATTCCCCACAGCACCTTTACACATCTCTAGCAAATTTTATTCAGTGCTTAAGGACCGGCCGCATTTGGGAACCCAAAAGCAAGGCTGGCACTGCCCACCCATCCCCCGGGTGAGGCTGATGCCCTTCTCGCTCCCCTGCACCGCTTGCAGAGCGGGGAGATGCCAGAGTCTGCGCGGGGCAGTGACTGCCCCGGCCCCGGGCTGCAGGGGACAGAGGGGTGCCCACTCCATGGCAGTGCTCTGCGCCCTTGGCACTCTCCCACCAGTGTGCCTCCACCCAGCCCACACCATTTTTATTACCTTCTCCCTAACAAACCCCAGACTCGTAGAGACAACTCAGAATTATTTGCAGCAATAATAGCAAAAGGTTCCAGGGGAAAAACACAGAAACCTCTAGTTAAGGCGCCAGCCCAGCTGCCTCAGACGGACCCGACCCTCCACAACATAGCAGGCGGCGGGGCTCGGGCTGTCGTGCTCTGGAGATCCACAGTCACGACTTGTTTTCCAAAGCTGCTGTGATTTTCCCACAAGTGCTCTTCACATCCTTCCTTCTGGCAGGAAGAGCCACGTGAAGAGCCCCTAAACATAGAAACTCGAGAGAAGTGCTGTCAAGTTTCTGCATCACAGTTTATCACCCATTTCTCCCAGAGCATTCATGCCCCTTACATAAAAGGGATGTGGCTAATTACTTCCAGGGGACGTCAAAGGAACTGGAGACACTTGAACCCTTCCCGACAGAGCAAGTGCACACGACACCCTGAGCTAAGGGTGTGTGCAGGCAACGGCACCAGCAGCTGATTCAGAAGTGGTGAGAGCATTAGCAGAAGCAGAAACCAGACTCTTGCAGAACTGCTGCTCCTGCTTGAACCCATCTTCCCGCACCAACAGGACTGGGGGTTCCAGCTGGAAGATTTTGGGGAGCTAGAGGGGAGTAGGCAGGAAGCTGCGATGGCGGTTACCCTGTGCTGCACCCTGAGAGCTTTGCCCTGGAAATGGTGTCTTTTGTAACCGACTGGCAGCCCCAGAGCGAGTTGGTGGGTTTAAACCCACAGCCAGTGCTCTGTGCCAGGTGCAGCAGCTCCCCATGGAACCAAGCACAGGTGGGCATTTCCATACTTTTCTCCCACAGCTGGAACAAACCATAAACGTTCAGATTTGTCTGCACATCTAAATGGCCGTTGCTCTCCCTTGACCATAAAATGAAGCTGGGCGGGTTGTGTTCCTGCCTCAGCCAGGCCTCTGCTGCCCAGTGCCAGGTGCCCTGTTCTTACCTGGTGATCTCCTCCTTCAGAGCAGCGGGATCCGTGGGGTAAAACTTCACACGGAAGCACATAGTGAAGGGAGGCTGGGCTGCGGCAAGAACAGTGACAACGCGGTCATCGAATGGCGGGGTTTGTCCCCTTCATCCCCCCAAATAATGCTGCTTGAGGAGACGGTCGGATATTGCTGGGGGTCCCACCTGCCCTCCCTGCTACCCCAGTTACCCCCAAACCCTTCTGACCCAGTAGAAGAGCTTTGTGGCTAATCAAAAAGGCATTTTTTTCTGGGATTCCAGAGAGGAAGGACTGGAGAAAATGAAAATCCATCTAAACCAAAAGGAGCACACACTGTCCAGGACATCCACTCGCAGCAATACTCACCCCTCATCTGCTTCACAACTGACTTGGTAAATTCCAGCCAATGCTGAAAGAAAAAAGAAGGAAATTAAAGCAATTCAGTAACAAATACTTTCAATTAATAGCATTGACTCTTCAGGGCAAAATTGAAGGAACAAAAAACTCCTCTGCTTGAAATAAAAGCCTATGCCGTGGCAGATCTGTGAGCAACACGGTAGAGGAGCCGGGATGCAATCCTGGCCCAACCGGTAGCCGAGGGAGGGCCCAAGCAGGACCAGAGCTCCCTGTTCCCCACTCCATGTTCCTTTCTCTGCATGGCCCCAAGGGAAGCTGGGTGCTCCATGTCCCCTCTTGGCAATGCCACGGGGTCAAGGTGGTGGCATAGCCAGGCTTCACTGATGCTGGGCGAGCAGTTGCCTTGCTCAAGGACCCTGTGCCAGCCCCAGGAGAGGTGCTGGGCAGAGCAGCAGTGTGTTGGGGAGCATCTCCCTTCGCTCAACAGGACACGATGTCCCCAAGGCCAAGTGCAGTTTTCTATCAGTGACAACAACCTGGCCAAGGTACACGCTAAAGGCACCCTCCTTCAGACTGCACAGCCTCCCACTCTTGGGGTTCTGCTCAGCAGCTGGCTCAGTGAGCCACCCGGCAAGGTGAATGATTTCATGCCGAGGTATCTGGTCTCTGGTTGTTAAAATCACCTTTCCCTCGTGCCACGTGGCTGCATGGGTGCGCTTGATGGTGCTAGAGAAGTGCGTGGGCTGGTCACTTTGAGATCTGATCTTTAAAACCTAAATCAAGGTCCTATATGGCAAAAGTACAAACCCCAAGAGTACAGGCTGGTGGCTCTGGGTCATGGGGGGCTCTCCTGGGTCTCTGCCCTGTGTCCCGCTGACCCCTCAGGCTGTATCTCATGTTTGTGGCTGCGCCAGGGCAGGCGATGGCACTGCAGCGCTGGCTGCAACAACTGGGCCCAAGCTAAGCCCAGCCAGAACCAGGACCTTGAATTACAGCATGACACTGGGAAGGTTCAGCTCAAGCCTGTATTTCTGAAATTACACCTCTGTGCCATCGAAAACAAACCATCAAGCTCTGCCTGCAGCAAAGCCTCTGCCTGCAGCAAAACCTCGGCAATAGTGGCGGTGACTTGCAAACGTTTGGGCAGGCACATTCAGGAAACAAAGTGGGGTCAGTCAAGAAGCAGCTCCAGTTGCCTGTGTGTTGGGAAGAGGGAGCCCCAAAACACCGAAGCAAAATGACGATAATTAAGGCAAACACTAGTTAGCACACAGGATTACAGACCTACAAACATACATCACTGGGACTGCTGGAGAGAACTCTAAATATTAACGGCCACCACTGAGACAAGAACAGCGAGCGGTGGCCACGCAGTGGCATGAACGGGGTCAGGTTTCACTCGGGAATTTCTGGGGTGTGTTGGGAACCTGATGCAGATGTGCCAGTGGCGGGGCCAAGGGGGCCAGGGAGTGCCCAGGGGTCCGATCCCTCACATTGGTGACTGTGCCGACACAGCCCCTTGCTGGGGAGGCTTTGGGAAGCCAGGGGACGTGGGGCAGCCCCATGGGATGCAACAGCCACTGGCAGCAAGTGGTCCTGGTGCTCCAACGCCAGCACTGGGACAGGGACATCCCAGAGGGTTCCTGTGGGAAACAACCGCCCAGTCCCAGGAACCCACTGCAGGAGCAAGGGCACCCCCATCTCACAATAAGGAACGTTGACTGGTGCAGCAGAAATAATGAAGCGCTGGCTTAGTTCATCGCAGGCTTAAATGCAGCACTTTTCACTTGAGGAAATGTTAAACCCGGAAGCTCTTGGGCAGCCACAGTGTCCATAAGCAGCAGGGCTGGGGCTGGCTCACATATGGAGGGGTCTCCCCTGCCCCACGCACAGAATAACAGAATCGTCTAGGTTGGAAAAGACCTTGAAGATCATCCAATCCAACCATTAACCTAACGTTGACAGTTCCCAACTCCACCAGATCCCTCAGCGCTGGGTCAACCCAATTCTCAACCTCTCCAGGGATGGGGACTCCACCCTGCCCGGGGCAGCCCATTCCAACGCCCAACAGCCCCTTCTGGAAAGAAATACTTCCTAAGAGCCAGTCTGACCCTGCCCTGGCGCAGCTTGAGGCCATTCCCTCTTGTTCTGTCGCTTGTTCCTTGGTTCCAGAGATTCATCCCCCCTCTCTGCACCCTCCTTTCAGGGAGCTGTAGAGGGCGATGAGGTCTCCCCTCAGCCTCCTCTTTTCCAGACTAAACCCCCCCAGTTCCCTCAGCTGCTCCCCCTACGACCTGTGCTCCAGACCCTGCACCAGCTCTGTTGCCCTTCTCTGGACACACTCGAGTCATTCAATGTCCTTTTTGTACTGAGGGGCCCAAAAAGTGAGTGAGTGAGTGAGTGAGCAGTCCTGGCCTGGGATGCTGCTTGAAGCTGAGTGACGGTTCTTGCCTCAGCCCTTGTGCCCTGAATTGAATCAGATTATTCTCAGGAGAGGCAAAGCACAGGTAAAAGGAGCATCCTCAGCATTTCCGAGTGTGCCAGCTCTGCCCAGCGCCCCTCTCCTCTCTCCCAGGGAGCCGCAGCCACTTCAGCCTTTGCATCCAGAGCGCCAGAGAAGCAGGACCCGGCCCTGGGCACTGACCCACCACATGCGACACCAGAGAAACGTCCTCTCCTTGAGCCAGCTCGGTCAAGACACAGACCTTGCATTCCCCATCTGCCCACGCATTTGCTGCAAGAGAGGATGCTCCAAACCCGCCCGCCCCGATACGCCTCCTCCATGTGATGACTGTGCAGAGGGCTTCTCCAGAGTGCCGTGCAGGCCTCTGGGAGAGGGCAGACTACGGCAGCGCCCTCTCTCCACCAGCTGTGCTCACAGGGAGGATGTATAAGAATGCATTATACACAGGGTTTTATTTCTAGATGTGTTTAAAGAGGTGATTCATCCAAAATCAGGGAAACAAGGAGCTGACACAAGTGGGGCAGCAGTTAATGATCCCTTGGAATCATGCAAGAGAAATGCCAGTTTGACACACGTTTGTGCAGAGCTTCTGTTCTGCACATTTTAAAAGGAGAGTAGAGAGTTAACCCCAAGGAAGGGGCAGGCCTCACTCACACAACTTCTTGGTGGAAATCCAGCTCGTTGGGAGGGTGGCACAGGTCCTGCCGTGGGGGCTCTGGGCTCCATGCAAGGCAACACACTCAAGTGTTTGGATTCTTAGCAAAAAGCTGTCACATGGCCTAATCTCAGTGTTAAAAAGCAACTCTGCACTAGAAATAGTCCTGCAAACCCAGTGTCAGATCTCCCTCTGCGTCTTTGCCATAGCATCACATCCTCTCCCTTTGCAAACACAAGATCTTTCACCACGTGCGTGGGGACCTGAGAGCTGTGTGAGTTCTTCTGGCTCACGCATCCCGACCAACGCTGAGGACACATCAGTGAGGCCGGGACATGGTGGCTACTGATGCCGGAGCGAGGGTATATCTTGGCCCCCACTGCCTGGGGCTGCAGAACGAGATGCAGCCCTGGCTCTGGCAGAGGAGGTGGGAAGGGGCAGGGGGCTCTCCCCAGGGTGCTCAGGGGGCCATGAGCAAGCCAATGACCCTGTCGAGGCACCATAACCTCCCTTGCCCAGCAACAGGGGCAGGGAGCACTGAGGGGAAGAGCCCCTCATCACTGCCTAAATTTTATGGATTTTATTGAGCCATTTGCCTCCTGCTCTGGTTCTCAGCTGCAGAAGCAAGAACAAGTCTGATACCACCAAGCTGCAAGAAACCCCGTCGCCCAGCCCAGGCAGGAAGGGCTCTCACCCTTTGCTTGTCAGGGTCCACAAACCGAATGCCGAAGTAGTCCTTCTCCAGCAGGTTCAGGTGGTGGCAGAGAAGATCGAACAGGTACTGGCCCTTGGCATCTCTCTGCAAGACAAAGAAACCCATTGACAAAGTGTCAGGAGGAGGGTGGAGGAGCTGGGCCACGAAGGGTCGGTGAAGGCTCCCAAACCTGTAGTGACACCAAGGATGGTGCAAATACCATCAACCTCCCTGGTGCTTCCCCAGTGGTATTTTCAGCTCAGAAACCATCTCCCACCCCACCCGAGGGGCAGCCCAAGAGCAGCTAGGAGCAGGACCCCATAGCATACTGGTCCTTGTCCCCATCCCTGTCCAGTTTGTCCCCAGGCGGGATGCTGAGGCCACCCAGGGCTTGCAGAAAACCACAGCATCTGCTAAAAACCACATTTGCTTGGACAACAAATCTGCATCCAGGCAGCTTTGGGCAGTGCTGCGGAGGTGAAGCTGCCTGGATGGAGCACGCGGCGAGAGCATGGCAAGAGCAGAACAGCAACTGCCCCAAACACGGCCTGAACACCACGGAACACACAGTGTATTCTAAAAGCATCAAGAAAACCATTACCCGGGTCATAGCCTGTCTGGGAACCACCCTGCAGCTTGAGTCACAGCAAAGCGTTAGGCGGGGGGGCTGTGAATTCTGGGGTCTCTGCCTGGCCTGTGTTTCCAGGCAGAGCAGCACGGTCACGGCTTTGCTGGTACTGTGATCGCTGTTGGACTCACTCGCTGCAGATGCAGCACAGGGCATTCTCAGCTCATCGCTTCTGCTATTTTATGGCTCTCCTAAACAGTCTTTCCCCGGTCTGGCACTACAGCTTGAGTCCAGGGCTGACCTCCCTATTTTTAGCGAATTTTTATGTGCTCTTTTCTGCTATTGAGCTTTTAACAAAAAACCTTCCCCCTTCCCTGCCCCTGGGATGCGGCATCACTGTGGGCTGTGGCAGAGGGACCTCACAGATTTATATTTTCCCCAGGACCAGCCTGTGCTGCCAGACCCCCACTCTGGAGAGAGCAGGAGCCTCTGGGCAGTGAGAATTACAGCTTCACAAAGTCCTGCGTGCCAGTACAACTCATAGCTGGTGTAGACTGAGCATTAATGGGGAACTTCAAATTATTACAGATATAAAATTTGATACATGTCAAAATTATTAAAAATTTAATTTCCAGAGCTGCAAAGACTGGAATATGCATTTAATTTGGGGTTCTGTGAGCTGCTCCACAGCAGTGCTGGGCCCAGGGCACTGCGGTCTTCCCTGTATTTGTTGTGGCAGTGCAGCATCCACGAGAGCTAGGGGTGCCAGGACCCCCTGACACCCCCTCACAGCCCTCTGGGACCCCACTCACAGCTCGTCCAGCCACGGGGTCACTGCTGGAGATGGGCTGTGCATCCCCTCTGTCAAAAATATCATCATCTCCCCTCTATGCAGAAATGGCTTTCCTATCTGCTAAAGGTTTGACATCAATAAGCCAAGAAGAATAAGGAGTTATACCAAGGGTCTTTCTGGTTCAACACTTCCTTTGGTCTCCAGAATTGCACCCCCAGGGGCCGTAGAGCCCCCACATGAGAGCTGATTTATTAGCTGATGTATTACCCAGACTGAGCATACAGCTCTTCAATGCTGCATATTGAGCCCCTTATACAACAGCAATTTAACTACTCCGAAATTTCCATCCAATTTATAATCGACCACTGTAACATTTTGCTCATGGAAAAAAACCCAGATACACCTGGATAATTTGTGAACCCACAGGATCTGTCCCGGGGCAGCATCTCTGTGCTGAGCAGAGCCCTTCCTTTGCAGTGGTCTCACCCCTCAAGGCTCAGCACTTGCTGAGAGTGAGGTCTTCTCAGTCTGTGTCACGTTTGGGATCAAAACCAGTATTTTATGCATTTTTGAAAAGCTTAAACCAGGTGCTGCTGCCCTGGAAAACCCCTTTGCCTGAGGACAAGGAGGGCAAAGAAGTAAAATCGTTTGGCCCCGCTGTCTCTGTTGCTTTATGGCAGAACAAACAGCACCCAGGTACCCAGGCTGATGGGGATCGCTGGCAGGATCTGGCCCCTCAGCCTGGCAGCCCTTGGCCGAGCCCTGGGGTTTGTAGGAGGATCCGGAATGGCTGTGCTGCGGACGATGGGGGCCCTGCTTCACCTTCCAGATGATCAGGGACCTGCTTTACCTTGCACATCATCGAGGACCTGCTTTACCTTGCAGTCGATGGGGAACCTGCGTTACAACACCACACGTCTGCAGATCAAAAGCCACTCCTGACAGCCAACGCTGCCTCCTTCAGATAACACAGGTTTCTGTTACCCGACAAATACGTTTAACATGAGCATTATCTGATCAAATAATCAGCCGGCAGACACAGGCTGTGCAATCGGGGAACCCCACGGGTCTGGGATTAACCCATTCCTGCGGCTTGGCATGGTATGATAAATGTCCCTGTGTTTTTCATAAATAGCGCTTCATTTAGAGAGTTGTGAAGTTCAGGCTGCAACTATGCAGCTGCTAAAGCAACGTGCCCTTGGTGCTGGAGCCTGGCAGGCACCGGGGCAGTGACAAGGCGATTTGACGCGGTGACCCCCGGGCAGCACTGCTGCTGCCGCATAGTCACCTCGGTCCCTGCTGCAAACGGCCATCCCAGGGGGCTGCGTGGGCACAGGCCATGCGGGGATGTTGTCCCTCAAACATGGATCATCACCCAGTGTGCAACAGCCAACCTCCCACACAGGGCCAAGATACCAGTTTGTTCCATAGCTGCACAAAGATGGGTGCTGGGGGGTAATTCCACAAAGCCACACAAAGGAGTACAGCCGATTTACCCTATTATGTGATTAGTAAAAACCTAAGTTCACATTCCTTGGTCTATAATTACCATTCCACTTGCTCTTGGTTAGTTATATTTAAAATAGCCTCGCTTGCTGGGTAAATTAGCACACATGCTCCTTGCAGGTGGAGAGGGCTTTCTGGTCTTGAATTGAGTCAGTGGTCGTGATCTCTCCCCACTGCCTTTATTTACTTCTCTCCCAGTTTCCACAGTCCGCAGTTTTTTGCTGACTTCATGCTTCTTGGGCAATCATCCAACTTCTGGTGCTTTCTGGGACAGGATGCTCCCCTCCTACCTGTCCTTTATCACCTCTCCAACAGGGAAGGTGTTAGCAAGGCCTGGATGTATCAGGCTTACACAGCGGAGACGGTGATTACTGTCCAAGCACCGGTACAGGCTACAAGGCTACAGGGGCGAGAGCCCGTCCTGCCACCCAGCTGCTGCAGCGCTGGCGCTCAGCCAGCAGCAACGGCCTGATGGAGCGTCCTGGGCAGCCGCAGACAGAAATCAGTGGGAGAATTGGCCACACAGCATGGAGGAAAGGGCTGGGGGGGATGTGGGGCAGGCAGCACTCGCTCCAGCTCCAGCCCAGACAGAAGGAAGGGGAAGGACACACAGCCCCACACCAGGCAGTGGGGAGACCCCAGTGCTGCCCAGTGAAGCTCAGCCGAGGGGCCGGGGATGCTCACAGGGCCCTGCTGCTCCCCAAAGATGATGGCCTTGAAGTGATCGCTGTCCTGAAGCCTCCTTTGGAAATCCCGCAGGTGACCGCACCCCAACACCCTGCCCTGGCACTGGTGCTGTCACAGTCACACCCCAGCCCTCCTCTCGCTCTGCCACCTGCATCTCCCAGAGCCTGGCTCTGCCTGGAGAGCATCGGCAGGGTGCATCAGCACAGTGGTCTCGCCAAAATACCTGGAGGCAATGGACAGGATCCACAGGCTGCCTCTGAGGTTCATCTCTGCAGCCTCGGGCATCCCACCCTCCCAGGGCTGTCTCAGGCTGCCCCCAAGGTATGGGTTGACCTGCACAGCCCTGGGAGCGAGAGTCTTTGCTCTCTCCTCCTTCACCCCTCGATTGCAGAGTGGGGTGGGACTCACTCGGACATCAGCCAAGCTCAAGTCAAGTCTTAAAAAGCCGCCTGTGGCAAACATGTTTGATGGGATCTGTCTGGGACGCAGCCAAGGGCAGCTTTTTACACAGTGACTGATGCACTGTAAAACATGAAGTGTGAAAAGACACCTAGCCGTAGCATGAGCCCCCGGGGGTATTCAGATGTCTCTCCCCACCGAGAAGCATGGCCACATTCATGGTTCTCAGAAACATCACATCTCTGCACATTAAACAGACCCCCCTGACAGCCTTGGAGCTGCGTCCCTGCAGGCTGCGTGCACATGCAAGAGAAAGCTGACTCCAGAAGGGCTTTGTTAGAGCAGAAATTCTACAGGTTGCCCAGAGAAGCTGTGGCTGCCCCCTCCCTGGGAGGGTTCAAGGCCAGGTTGGACGGGGCTTTGGGCAACCTGTGCTAGTGGAAGGTGTCCCTGCCCAGGGCAGGAGGGTTGGAACTAGATGATTTTAAGGTCCTTTCCAACCTAAACCATTCTACAATTCTGTGATTCAATGACTTTGAGATGCAGTTGCAGCAGATGGGTGCTCCTTGTGAGAGCACCCTGACATGGCCAGGTGGGCTTTGCTCAGCTCCGGAACCAGAACCAGCCCCAGCCCAGCTCAGAACCAGAACCAGAACAAGAACCATCCCCAGAACCAGTCCTGCTGCTCATGCTGCCCATGCAGCAGCCCTGGGCCAGCATCCTGCTCCAGCACCACAGCTCCTCGGGGGCCAACGGGCACCCCCACCCCAAGGGAATGAATCTGGGCACTCCAGGTGCCGTTCATGGGGCCATTACTGCATTTTTAAGCAGCTCTTCTTGTGGAAACGGGGACTTGAGGCAGAAAGAAGGTGAAGTAGCAGGAGAGCGCTGAGCATGGTGCCGGCAGAGCTGGCACCGAGGCAGCTGAAGCGTCCTGCAGCTACAGCATGGCTGGGGACATGGGCTGGAGCTGAGCAGGCAGCGGCTCTGCCAAACTCAGCCCAGTTCTTGGGAGATGCTGAGACCATAAACAAAGAGGACTCCCTGCAGGCAGCAAGTCCTGCCAGCCAGCAGGAACAACGCTCTGCCAGCACAGAGCCAAAACGTCAGGAATGGTCTCTGCCTGTTCTCCCCTCTGGCATCTCCCCACCCCTCCCC